TTAAACAAAGTAGTATTAAGTGAGGTGGCTATAGTTAAGTCATTAAATAGTTTTAAGTATCCCTATAGCACTATTGCTGCATCTGGATTGCCCCCTAGTGACAAAATTGCACTCCTAGCAAAGGTTTTACAAGACCAAGTACTTCGATATATAGGACTGTTTTAATAAAGCACTGAATTTCTTTAACATTATGTAGCGTAGACTCACACAGACAGATTGTGATTCCCCTCCCCCCCCCCCCCCAAGTTTAATTTGCTCACATAATTATTTTGGCTTCTTAACTTACAGACCACCGCTTTTTGCTTCAAGATTAACAAGGGATGTTTTTCCATAGAATACAAGCAGAGTAGCTAGAGGCCTATATGCTGTGGTATTTATGGTATTAGATGGTATTTATAATTCTTAATAGAATAACTATAATATTTTGACATGCTTTAAAAATTTTACTAAGCCAACCATTTTAGTTTTAAATGATCATGTTAGGAGTCTATTCTTCTGTGATATGTATGCAGTTTCTATTGATGTGAACAGAGGTTCTACAAGTATACCAAGGAGATTTCGGATTACTGACATCACGGATATGTTTATTTACACTCTTTTTAAACAAGACTGAATGCTGCAAATTGTGCACCTCACTCTATTTAACTCTATTTTGTTCCTCTCTAAATTACTGTATTCCTCTCTCAGTCACTCATATCCATCTTCACCCACTCCCTCCTTATGTTTATTCTAGCTCTAGTCTCAAGCCCCAATCCGGAAAGTTGATTTGTGTGGGCAGATGCCTGGCCATGCAGAGCTCTATTGCCTTCAGTGGAGCTCAGTGGTTTGTGTACACAGACAACCTTGCAGTTTGGGGTCTGAGATTGTGAGGCCTTCAGTGCAAGGACCATCTCTTATTTAGTTTATACAGTGCCCAGTATAACAACAAGGCCCCTGTTCTGATATGGGCTTTTGGATGCTATTATAAAAACTGGAATCCATTAATTTGGATCTGCACATGATACTTAATAAATCATAATTTTACTCGCCAAAGACCCAATCCAGTTCCATTGAAATCAAGGAGAATCTTCCCACAGACGTCAATGGGCACTAGATGACTTGATGTACTATTGCATATGCAGACTAAGCAATACGTACCTAAACTTTGCAAGATGATTACACAACAGGAAAACGATAGGTAAGATTCTTATCTAGGAATTACAGAATATTACATTCTTAATACTGTAAAATGGATATTATATGAAAGAGAAAAGTTTTAATTCAGTAAATTAAATGTAATATATAGCATTTTCTGAAAAATATGGAAAAGCAAAGACATGTTACTTCAACTGCTTGGATACCTTTTAGTCTACAATCACATTTTATTTTTTGTACAAGAGACACATAGGTGCAATTCTCCAGTACAATTGGCTGGGGGAGAAGGAAAAAATGCGACAACTTAGTTTTCCCTTACATCCGCCATCAAGATCACCCTCACCATAGTTGAGTACTGCATTTCTGAAATTAAACCTAAACTGCTACTTTGGTACTTTAACAGAGCAGATTTATTAACATGGCCTCAGTTATTGTTGACTACTTATTCCTACTTCTGAGACTCAAAAAGCAACACTGGCTGCTGCCTAATGTAATGGATTAGTAATACTTCCACAGCATCATAAATGAGCATGGTGCTTTACTATTCCTAAAGAACAATTCCAAGACTCCCTCTGGATCAAGCAGAGGCCAAAACTATGAAGTCAAATCAAATCCTAAATTTTGAAATACTCCAACTCCTCCAGGAGTTAGGGAAGTGTTATTACCATTGTACAAGGCATTGATGAGACCTTATCTGGAATATTGAGTGCAATTCTGGTCTCCAATGTTTAAGAAAGATGAATTCAAACTGAGACAGGTGCAGAGAAGGACTAGTAGGATAATCAGAGGAATGGAGAACCTGCCTTACGAGAGGAAACTTAAGGAGCGTTGGGAGTTTAGCCTAACCAAACAAAGAACGGTTGAAGATAAGATTGATGTATATAAATACATCAGAGGACCAAACACTAGCGAGGAAGGGGAATTATTTAAGCTAAGGGACAATGTAGGCACAAGAACAAATGGATATAAACTGTCCATCAACAACTTTAGGCTTTAAATTAGACTAAGGTTTCTGTGAAGTTCTGGAACAGCAGTCCAAGGAGAGCAGTGGGGGCAAAAAAAACACCCTAACTTGTTTCAAGACTGAGCTCAATAACTTTGTGGAAAGGATGGCATGATGAAGTTGCCTATGGCATATGGCCCATCTGCAACTGCTATTAGCAAATATCTCCAACAGCCAGAGATGGGACGCTAAATGGGGAGGGCTCTGAGTTTCTACAGAGAATTCTTTCCCAAGTGTCTGGCTGGTGGGTCTTATCCACATGGTCTAGGTCTAACTGATCACCATATTTAGGACTGGAAAGAAATTTTCCCCAGGTGAGCTTGGCAGAGACCCAGGGGTGCTGTTTTCTCCCCTCCCCTCCCCTTCCTCTGCAGCAAGGGGCATGCATCATTGGCTGGCGTGACCTAGAGTAAATGGTGGATTCTCCATAACTTGGAAGTCTTTAAATCAAGATTTGAGGATTTCAGTAATTCTGCCAAAGTTTATGGGTCTATAACAGGAACATGTGGGTGAGTTTGTGGCCTACGATGTGCCAGAGGTCAGAACAGATGACCATGATGGCCCCTTCTGACTTTAGAGCAGTGGTTCTCAAACTTTTTTTTCCTATGGACCACTTGAAAATTGCTGAGGGTTGCGGCAGACCACTTAATGATCTTTCCAAATGTTGTTTGTACTGTTACTTAACTATTGTAAAGCGCTTTAGATAAAAGCGCTATATAAAAAAAACCTTAATAAATGTTTTTTTCTTCTACAAATAAAAGCACACAAATCATATTTTAATATCAATAGTCTTACTTTTCTAATGCGATGGATGTGCCCTCTCCCCCGCCACGGCAGCCCCCGAGCTGGGGCTGGAAAGGAGGGGGGTCCCTCCCCCTCTCTCCCACCGCAGCAGTCAGAGAGGGGAGGCTGGGAAGGACGGGGCGGGGGGGGGGGCGGGGTGTCTCTCCCCCACCACAGCAGCCACAGAGCTGAGGCTGGGAAGGAGGGCCATCTCTCCCCAACAGCTGCAGCCCTGTAGCTAGGGAAAGTTGCCTCTTTCTCTGGCCACCACAGCCCTGCACATCTCAAATTCCCCCCACCCTGTCTTCTCACCCAACTTCCCCCTCCCATCTACCCCCTATTCTCCCCAAGGTCACCACCTCACCTTACACATGCGTCTTCTCCAGGGTCCAGGCACCTAATTAGTGGAGCCACACCTGCACGACTCCACTAATTAGGTGGGTGGCCCTTCATTCTCTTGCGTGCGGCTGCCCAGACGCGCATCTTAGAGGGAACTATCTGCAGACCACCTGAATGGAGCTCACGGACCACTGGTGGTCCACAGACCACAGTTTGAGAACCTCTGCTTTAGAGTTTATGAGGTTTCTCTGTTGCAAGATTCTTTTGGGATACAGACCTTTTCCAAGGGTGGAATCAATTTTTTCTACTGAAGTCACCTCTGTGTTAATTCATGCCAGAATGGCTCAAGATTCATTGACACTTTTTCAGGAGCAAATATCTGACATGGTGTGCTGCCCCCCGCCCCAACTCCATTTCATTGGTCTTGTGAAAAATTTTCTCCCTAAATTTCAACAGCCCCTTTCAAGGGATTATCTGATCCTTAGACTCTGCCCCAGACAAATAATTAATGGAGCAGGCAACTTCTGCTATGCAGTCTAAATCCTACATGGTGTGCAACCTGGCTTGTTCCAGTAGAGGGTGGCAGAGGAGATAAGTTTCATTCTGTGGAAGCACTCATCTGGAGGAACCAATTGGCACCCCGGTCTAACAGGTGGAGACTACTTATTCCATGTCCTGCCCAAACTGAAACTGGGAAAGACAAGGAGAGGGAGAAGCCAACAGAAGAAAAAAGTGTGAGAGGTTCCCTCCCCTCAAAATCAGGTACCTAGAAGACTAGTCAGAGCATTTGTGAAACAGAGAGAGTGAGAGTGAGAGTGAGAGAGTGTGAGAGTGAGAGAGTGTGAGAGTGTGAGAGTGTGAGAGTGTGAGAGTGAGAGTGTGAGAGTGTGAGTGAGAGTGGAATAGGGACTCTGGTTCCCTAAATGAAACCTTGTGGAAGAGGGGAAATACTCCTGACCTACACTTCCTACCAGTGTCTGTGGGACTTGGGAGGAAGGGAAAGGAGGTTTTTTTATCCAACCCCTCTAAAAAAATAGATATGGTTTCCTTGAAGGCAGAGTTTAATAGGATGATGTTGAAATAATTGAACTGGGATGAGTAAAAGGGTTTCCCTCTACACCTGTGCACAGAAGCTAAACTGTGTGCCCATATCTGCAGATGGCCTTGGCTGGTTCCTCCTCTCAGCACTTACATTCAACAGTGATGGGTGTTACAGATAGCCCTACAACAGATGAAGAGGAGTTTTAGTGACAGTAGAGGCAGAAGGAACTTGCCATTGATGGGAATATGCCAGTTCTGCAGATTTTGCACCTGCAGGAATAGCTACTGCCATTAGGAGATCAACTATCTGTGTAGCATGTCTACAGTGGGCAAAACAGAGAAAAACTCAGGCTCCAGACAGATTGCGTGAAAGACATAGGAGTGAAAATCTTCAGGGTGCATCCCCTTCAGAGAAAGTGCTATAGCTAACGTTGTTTAAAATTCCATTTTGAGATCTGTCTGCAGAGATCTCGTGTATATTTTTAAAAGCTTCAAAGCAAATGTTTCTGTTTTCCAAAAAGTAATGTTGTATATTAACTAAATTCTAAATATTCTATGCAGCCCCAGACAGAAAAAGAAAAGTTAGACAAATTCTGAAATTCTAAAGATAATTATGTTTAAGACACATCCCATTCAAATGAGAAAACTGGTCAATTATACTTTCAAAAATTAAGTACGGTATTCAAGTAATTTTACTTACCAAATCCATCTATGTCTAGATTCTTATCAACAACAACATCTAGCAGCGAGTCCCCAACTTTCCCTTCAGCTGTTAGTTTGTCACCATCACGGTTTATGAAGTGGACAGTTACTTTATCTTCTGAGCTGAAAAATAAAAGCACATCCATGTTAACTATTACTAAAGCATGTAATGTGACTGGCAGAAGAATTTTAGAGCTTTATGGTAGTCTACCAATTTTAAAGAAGCACCAATAAAACACTAAACATTACCAAAAGCTTTTTGGCACAAAAACCCAAAGAAATAATTAAGTTTGTAAACTCTTCATGACAGAGTAAGTACTGCCCACTACATCTTGTTCAGTGCTGAGTGCACTAACATAAGAAATAAGGAACAACAGCTAAGGTTTGTGTTTTGTCATGATGAATGAGAGAGAGGGAAGAGTATTAGATCCTGAATTTCCCTTTTTTCCATAAAAGGGAGAGCTATTTTATTTCAGACACAGGTTAACTGACAAAATCCCGTCGTTGAACACCACTTCCAACACAGAGGATATGCAAGAGTAGCCCAGGACAGACAGTCACTGCATACATGACATCTGATGGTCTGGAAAGGCTTCAGAAGTACATCAACTGAATTGTTTACTAAATTCCAAATAGTTATATCTGTGCAACCCCAGTGACAGCAATATGGTTGCACAGGTGTCTGCAATAACTTTTTTTAAAAAAACCCACTAATGATGTGCAAGAAAGAACACAAATTTAACTTCAGGTTTGCAGGTTGACAGGAAAAAAAAAGTCCTTATTTGTAAGATTAGCACTTTCAATAAAAAAATAAAGACAACAACTAGGAATTCAAGAATACCATTTTAAAGTCACTTCTAAAGAGCAGAACCATACTTTAAGGATTATCAATCAAACCAAAAGGATCAGATTCTTCACTGGATGTCCTGTTTTATTTTGTATACATGTGTGAGCATGCACATGCGTGTCAACTAGTAAACAGAATTATCCTTGGACTGGCAACAGGATTGCTCCCACCAGCAAAGAGGCAGACCAATACAATGTTTGCTTTAAAATTACATCTAGCTTCAAGAAACTAAATCCAAGTATTACCTCTAATGCATACAGGCTCTGGATGACCTGCCATGTACAATAATTACCAATCTTGTAAATGAAGCCAGTCCATAAGAAGTCTAACCTGCACAGCCAATGCTAAACAAAATTACGAAAGCTTTCATACTGAAAGTTACATGGGGGGGTGGGGGGGAGGGAAAGTATTTTAATATTCTTCACAAAACAAAATATTTACTATACAATTAGACTAAACCTTAAGTGCCTTAATGGACGACTAAATTAAATCAAACATTTTGAAACAGGTCATAAAATGATCTTTTTATTTAAAGAATACAAGTATGTTTCTTGAGAAAGTTATTATATTTGCCATAACTGTAAAAAAAAAAAAAAAAAAACAAAAAAAAAAACCACACACACACTTTGGCAGCAATATGTGGCATGATTCATTATGATGCCATGTTCAATTCTTGTCAAATATTCCCTCAGTCCATTTTCCAGAAGATAGCCACAAGCTACCTTCAATAACAATGAATTAATCCAAAAAAATATAATCAGTGACAAAAGACTGACCTTGTTAATCTGCAAAATTCAAGTGAAGCATGTACTACATTAACTTGAGTGTGGTTTCTGAATTTCTGGACATAAAGTTGTTTAGCTTTAAGAATACAGAAGTGCATACGTTCTGGTAGACAAAGCATGTTTCAGTCTATTTGGAATACTTTTTTATCCCAGCACGTGAAGGAGATACAGATCTGATTGCTTTTACAGAACTACTTAGTAAGTGTGCTAAATGTAAAATATTATTTATTCAGTGTGCCCACAGCATGCCAGGCCATCTAGAATGGATATATTCTCTGCCCTTAAGTGCTCAAAATCCAATAGCAGACATGATGCAACAAGTGTGAGAGATAAACAATAGTTGGGCAAGTCATAGGTTGGCTGGACAGAGGTTACAAAAATAAAAATTCAGGTGTATTTAGTTATGTAGGCTTCTTGCTCCAAAATATGCACAAAATCTTTCAAGGAAAAGTGCTCCCTTAAACAAAATTCTCGTTCATCCTTCCATGGTCACTATCCAACAATCTTTTGTTCCACCCCCCTCCCCCCCCCCCCCCAAAATCACATAAAAAAGGAAGGGTAGAAATGCCTTTGGATGCCTACGCCAGTTTTTCAGCAGCTCCAGCTGTGGTCAGAGCAGTTTCTGGCTCCTACAGGTCTGGCCCTGCACCTGGGAAACGTTCTTCCATTCAGGCCACATGGCTATAAGGCATTAAGCCTCTGAAGAACATCCTTCCTAACGATGTCAGGCTGGTAAAATTCCTCCTTGGCTTAGCATTTCTGCTGCTCAGAAGGGACCCGTAGGCAAGTGTCAGTTTTCCTGCCTGCTAGACTAAGACAACAGGGGAAATTGGGAGTGGGTTGCATACAGCATTAAGCTTCCAGTCAGCAAGTAGAATTGTCAGAGGGGCTGAATGAGAGAGGAGCAAAGAAAATTGGGCAACCAATTAGAAGGGAACAGGGATGTGTGCAGGAATAAAAATTTGACCACTCTTGTGGGGGCACATTCTGTGCCCCTGCGTGGCCTCAGGCTGTCAGCTCTCCCCGCACAGCCCCAGGGTGGAAGAACTCTGTGCCCCCGCTGATCACTGGGGGGCCCACACCCCTGCTTGCCCCCGCCTTGTGCATGCCCCTGGAGGGGAGAGGACAAAAAAAAAAAAAAAAAAAAAACACGGGGGGGGGGGGGCGCGGCGCTTTAAAGACAACATAGGTATGTCACTAGTCAGCAGGGAGGATGGTGAACTCAGCTGATGTCAGCCACATAAGTAATGTCTTGTGAGAAGGGGGAGAGGCCAAGGAAAAGCCCTCTGTTGAACTGAGCATGTCTGAATGCCTCACCTGTTAGTAGTAAATGAGGCAGGGAGAGACTGTGTCTGGGGTTTTTAGCTACAGATATGAAGTTAATCATTTTTGTCAAAGATTCACACTAGCTCAATTTGCCAACAAACTGGAGGACACTGTATAAAAATTATGATTCTATTACCTGCTGCAGCAGCAAAACAGTTTAACTTGATTTTAGTAGGAAGATAAAGTATTAGAGGCTATTACAATCTTTTGCGATCACAATCTTAACTGCTACTATGATCAGGGCCAAGCCATTTCCTTTCCAAGTTAGGCAGACTTACACACTAAGACCCCAATCCTAAAAAGATGTATGTATATGCTTAACTTTGAAGTCTATGGGACTAGTCACATGTTCAAAGTGAAGCATATGTGTAAATCGTCACAGGACTGCAGCCCATTTTAAAACACATCTTTATAAACAGTTTCATATAGATTTGTTGAATTTAAAAGAATTTGAAAAATGTATGGGACCCTTTTTTTGCGTGAAAAACCCTCATCCTGAATCAGTAGAGGAAAGGCCCTGGGACAAGTAAAGTACATGGCTCAGAAAAAGAATAAGGGGTATTAAATATATAAACAATTCCAGAATTCATAGAAGGATAAGTACCTGTGGGATTCATATCAGAAAGAAACGGGTTTGTACAGTTTGCAAAAAGCAGGAGAAGCTTTCTGATAAAGTGCAGTCCTCCTGTAAATAAGTGTTAGACTTCCTATTCCCCACACATACATAAGCAAGCTGGTCACGTGAAACACACAGAAATAGAAATGTGTCATTTTGCCTACAAGAAGTTATTCGATTGATCCATAAAATACAGCATAAGGAAAGAAATAAAATGCCATTTTGTTTAACAGCTTACACAGCTGCTAAACATTTGAATTTCAGAAATGTTGAACTATTCTGTAGCTTTCAAGCCAAAAGTGGTTTGAATCTTTGATCTATATTAACACCAACAGAGTGAAAGACTGCAGAAAGGCAACTGCAAAACCAGCAAGGAAACACTCAAAATGGCTGATAGAAAGATAGATCTGTCACTGTGCTTGTTGATTGATCTACAACTGAGCGCATACATCAGATTTGGGCATGACAGTAATTTTATATCCTCATGGATTGTATTTTCTAAAAAGGACAACCTACCCTAAATTCTCAATTACTGAGGGACAATCTTCCCTCATTGATATATGTGCTTTCCATAACCAACAATGTATAACTTTTCATGAGTGATGTACCTGAATACTTGGATGCTAATAATCTAAACTGCATTCTTAAATTTACTCACCTAAATTTGGGTTACTGCTCATTATGCACTATATGTATCTTATCACTTTAAAAACAAACTTTGTATTTGTGGATAATTAAGCACTATATCCAGATGTACAGACACTTTTCTCAGCTTGTATATTATGTAATTTTAACATTAGCTTTAATAAAAATTTTAAATTTGTTTGACATTGTAGAGTTGGAAGCGGACGGTATCGCAAAGAAAATAAGAACAGTTTTAGGAACTTTAGTGATCATGGTAGAATAAGATAAAAACTGGTTGGTTTGAATTTAGACGGCATAACAGTGAATGCAGGCTGTGTAACAGGAGTGTTCTCTAATTGATCAGCAACGTAATAACATTAACCGGGACGACTTTAAGTGAGGAGTTACTGTTTATCTTGGATATTGCTTTAGAGCCAAACCGCGCACTCCTTTCCCAGACAAAACTCTCAGTGAGCTCAGTACAACTTGTACCATGACAGAGGTCTGAGTAAAGACTAAATGGTAGATTTAAACAGACTTAGTGAGGATCTGTGTAATGGGAGCACCCAGTTTTGGGATGTGATGCATTTTCTTTAAGCTTTTTGATGAGCACCTTGTATGATAAATATAAAATTAAAAAATTAAAGTTAGCTTAAATTTGGTTAAGGAGAAATTATATGTATGTATGTAGTAACAAAGGCACCAATCAGCAAGTAAATAAGGCAGTGAGAATAATAAATAGTACGGCTGTCAAGTGATTAAAAAAATTAATCGTGATTAATTGCGCTTTTAAACAATAAAATATTATTTATATAAATATTTTTGGATGTTTTCCACATTTTCAAATATATCTATTTCAATTACAACACAGAATACAAAAAGTGTACAGTGCTCACTTTATTATAAATATTTGCACTGTAAAAAT